AGTACATGTTAACCGTAAAAGACGAACCAAATCAAAAAAAAATATCATAACAAATGAAATAGTACCTACTCTAGATTTAATACAATTGAAAGCTTATTTTACTAAAGTTCTTTCCTTTACAAAATATATAAATGAATTAACTATTAAAATAAATGGTACTAATATTTTTCAAGTGAATAAAACAAGAAAATCATTATCATCAATGAAATTAACATCAACATCAAAACGATTTAATTTTAATAATGAACATAATTTATTTCGTTTTAAATCATTGATACAAACTGAACAAAAATTTTCAATTGTAAATAATTCATCGATAACACTTAATCATATTGATGTTGAAGCTGAAGTAATTATTGATAAAAATTTTCATAAACAAATTCAAGGTGTTATTAAAAAAAGTTTACCGGCTACTATACATATTGAATTTTTATTTCCATCAAATAATGTATGTTTCCTTATACTTAATATATATATATATCTTTATATTTTCTTTTATTTTTCTAGATATTTGAAGATGAACAATGGAAAATATTAACAACTAATAATTTAAATAATCAAATATTAAAAGGATTAATTCCGTTTAAAATTCATGATGAACAAATTATTCCATCTGGTCAAATATTTATTGGTTTAGCAACACATCAATCAACAGGTATAGGTATGCATGTATTTAGTCATTTAATTCCAACGATTGAACGTGAAAATATTGATTTACAAGATCCATATATATCTATTTGGAATGAACAACTTTTAGCATCCATAGGAAAAATTGTTCGAATTATTTATGATCAAACAATTCATGATACAATTAATAATATTTCACAAAAATCAAATCAACAAATCAATGCTATTCTATCTCCTTATGCATTTCAAACATCAGTACCAAATAAAGATATTGGTTTGTATATTATATTCATATTTATTTCTTATATTATGTTCTTTTTGTTTTCAAGGACGTATTTTACTTGATGGATTCTTCTCGTCGGATAAAGATATTCTTGTTCCTGTAAAACGATCTCCATCTGATCAACATCTTTCATTGATTTCATCTACAGAAGCTTTTCTTACAACTTCTAAATATATTCAATCATTTCTTCCGGTACCACTTGTACCATTCGATATTGGACAAAATGACTTTCTTAAAATATTAAAAAAACATCAATGGATTGAAGAAATTGATCATGATACAATTTTAGTAAAAGTTCAAGAATCTATTCTACAATTTGATGAATTTATTGGATTACTTCGTTGGTTATGTAGTTATGATGTTAATAATAAATCTTATATTAAACAAATTTTATTAAAAATACGTTACCGTGAAACTCATCAATCATCTATTATTAAATTAGAAAAAATTGAATTTTATGATACATTAAATTTATTATCATTACCTCTTCCATCAAATGTATTACCATCAAATATTGTCAATCATATATCTCGAGATGATTTACAAAAACGTTTATCATTATCAGTAATTTCTGTAAAAAATTTATTTGAATTTTATCTTATGAACGATCAACAATATCTTTTTCAAAATGAAAATACATCTCGAATTATTCTTAGTTTTATGTCTCAACGTTGGAATCAATTTAATCAAACAGAATCAAATAAAATAAAAAATATATTATCAAATCTAAAATGTATTCCAACAAATCATGGAATGAAATCACCTAATGAATCCTATATTCGTCCACCATATTTATCTGATAATTTACCAATAATTACACTTTATATTCCACAAATTTCAACTGATGATAATCATCAGAAAGATAAACAAGAATTAATTAATTATCCAGTATCAACTGAATTTCTTAAATCAATTGGATGTCGAGCAATTCATGTTCCAACATCAACAAATAATTTAACGATTCAATCGAATAATTCATCCGATGATTCACAAACACTTGAAAATTTTATTCAAAATTTATTACAACAACGTAAAAATATGAGTGACAATGATCTTCATGCATTAAAACATAATCCATGTATTATAGGTTAGTTATTTATTCTTGAAAAAAAAGCACATTTCTTTTTTTTTATTATATTTCTTTAGGAACAACATTAGAAACGAATAATAATGAAATAAAACGTAAATATAAACCATGTGATCTTCATTTTCCATCAGTAGCTAATCGTCTTCAATGGAATCAATTACCAATTATAGATTGGTTAGATATAAATCCACGTTCACAAGAATATTCTTTTCTTAAAGAACTTGGCGTACGAGAAGTACCTGATTTACATAAATTAATTTCTCGAATTGATCAAGAACATAATCAAGGATCAAAACTAAGAGCAGAATATAAATTACCACATGCACTTATTTTTTTTGCCGAAAATTTTCAACAATATTATTCTAAATGGACAAATGCAAATATTAAAATACTTTTTCTTCCATCATCATCTCCTTTTGATTTAAATCAATCAACAGAAGTTATATTAACAACACCTGATAGTGTTTTTAAAGGTTTGTTTGAGATTTTATGTTTTGTAAATTATATTTATTTTGATTTTTGTAAAATTAGAACCAGGACCATTATGTCCATCTTTACTTCCTGATGTACTTCGATGTTTTTCACAATATTTTGATATTGGATTACTTGGTGTCAAATATCGTCCTCTACTATCTATAGCTTTTGATATATTAATGGAAAGAAGAAATCAATTATTGACTGTTGAATCTGCTTCAATCTATTTTTCTTATTTGAATAAATTAGATGGTCTTAATAGAACATTTATTCAAAAAATTTCTAATAGAGCATTCATTCCTTTACCAGGTTTGTTTTTTTTCCTAATCATTTTAATAAAACATTATATAGAAATTTAACATATATATTTCAGGAAGTAATATGTATGTTAAACCATCTCAAGTATTTATTCGATCAAAACCTATGTCAATTAGTGAAACATCTTCAGATAAAGATGTCAATGTTATAGATGATATGGCAACACGTGGTCTTATTGATTACATAGATTATGGTCCTACAGCTAATTCATTTCTTCTTAGTATTGGAGTTCTTTCTTATCCATCAGCTGAAAATCTTGCTGATTTATTAATTGAACGACAAGCATCATATTTTGCTCAAACAAAGGATAATACTAAGGATATAATAACAACGAAATTACGTATTTATACAAATTGTTTAAAACAATTAGCTGCTATATCAAATATTGCACAACATTTAAATGTTGAACCATTACGTAGTCGTTTAATTAATAAACCATGGTGTTTAGCTTATCAAATAATTGAACGAACTGATGGAAATAAAGAACGAATTTTTAAAATTGCTAAACCAACAGATATTTATTTGGATGATGATCATCAATCTGCTATTGATCTTCGACCATTATGTGCACCTGATGAACCAGAATTAACTAAATTATATGAAGTATTTGGATCAAAATGGTTATCTGAATGTGTTAAACAAACTTTAGTGCATAAAGGTTAATATTTTTTTTTGTAGATTAATATTAAAAATAGCTTAAATTTGTCTTTTTTTTAAGGAAGGTTTTTTGTAACGGAAAGAAGTAAAAAATTACATGATCTAATTCATTATCGTTTGGATATGTTGTTTGTTAATAATAGAGTAATGTTTATTGTTTTAAAAATAATTATTTTTAAATATATATTTTTATCTAGGGAGAACGACTGGAGAATATTAATGAAAAACATATTGAATTATTACGAACAAAATTTTTTGTTTATGAAACTGAAGAAATTCAATGTCAATTAACATTTCAGAATCGAACAATCACACTAAATGTAAGATTTTCTTTTTTTTTAAATATTTCTATTTGAATAAAAAAAATAATATTATTTTATTCATTAAAGTCAACTGAATGTAGTTCATGTGCATTGGAACATGAAAAAAATAAAGTTATTTTATATATTCAAAACGATATTTCAACTCTCGATTATATTGATATTGCTACTGAATTAACACGATTTGTTTATAAAAAACCACTTGATGCATTAGTTCATTCTATCAGTGATAAACTTGCTTCACCCTTAGAAACACTTAAACGACGTGGAATTCCTGTAGATCGATTGTTGAAAAGTGCACAACAACAACAACGTAAGTGTAACCGACAGATTTCGATTAGTTTAATAGATAAATATATTTTATAGCAATCAAATTAGTATTACAAAATGAACAAACAAAAGCTGAGAAGGATGTACAAAAATCATCATTACAACCATTTGAACCGCAAGAAAATCATAAACTAACAGAGCAAAATCAACAAAACGATCAAGTACAACGAGGATTTTTTCAAAATTGGAAAGAGTAAAATTGATAATAATAGTTTTGATTCGCATTCAGATTTCTAAAATACTTTTCTTTTTGTTTTTTTTAAATTTAGTTTATTAGTTCCTATTCGATATTCTTCTTCTTCTGTTTCAAATAATTCTGTTGAAAATATTTCAAGTACAGTTGAAAAAGATCGTATTAATCATTTTGGACGATATAAATCTTCTGATGAAGCTGATATTAAAGCAATGATTCGAACAAGTCGATCCTATTCTTCAATAGAATTTAATCAATCAGAACATTCTAGAAATGAAACTAATAATTCATGTGAATTTGTTCCAGCTTCAAATATGATTCGTTATGATCATCTTCTTCATGGAATTCCTCTTTATATTGATAGAAATGTACCTATAACAGATACTATGATTGATAATGGTAAAGAACTTGCTTGGTTATTATCTGGTCTTGCAAAAGATGTTTTTAACATGTCTGTACAAACAATACATCTATTTCGAGATATTGATAGTGGTAATTGTATAGGAAATTATTATCTTCCATTTCATAATCGTTTCTTTTTTGTTTTTAGCTCGTATTGCTTTCAATGGTCATGGTGCATTATTCTTTAATCTTCGTTATTTTGAACAAGTATTTGCCGATGATCTTAAACCATATCTTCATAATCGTTCATCATCCATTCCAATTGTTCGTAAGATAGTTAATTTTTATTTTATGGTTACTTGCCATGAATTATCACATAATATTGATTCAAATCATGATTTAAATTTTATTAATCGTCTTGAAAGAGTTTCTGTTCGATTTATGGATGCAAAAGATGCATTTCTATCGAAATTTTGTTTTCGATAATTATAGTCAGATATTTGTGCAATCGCTTGTTTTTTTCTTAAATATACTGGAATTTATTCTTTGCAAGTCTATTACTATCATCGATATTCGATGAAAATGCATCGGAATTCAAAACAATGTTCTGATAATATACAAAGCTATGTAGAACGTTTCTGAATGTCAAAAATTTGCATATAAATATACTTCGAGTTTAGATCATTTCTTCATTCAATGAAACTATACGAATAGAGTCTACTGGATTCCTAGCATAAGATATGTATGATATCAATATCTTCACTTGATGATCTAGTGATAAAATAACATATTTGAAATAGACTCGACTAAGATGCATCGATGTTCTTGTTAAACTAGCCATTGGTGGGTATGGAAGTGTTGCTAAATGTCAGGGGTGTGGGTGTGGGCAGCTCCGATTAAGTCACGCTCCAGCTCCAGTCATAATTTACCCGATCCGACTCCACTATAACGAAAAAGTTTTTTTTATTTGTCTTGCAGCTTATAGGTATTCAGGAAATTTCATGTTTTACTTCTGTATGTATATATGCATCTACATGGAATATAGAGAAAAGGTTATCAGTAAATTTAAGAAAAAAAAAACGAAGTGTTGATTTATTTTAGAAAGAAGAACAAATCATGAATTTTTTTAAGGATAAAGAATAAGTCATCGATTTTTTAAGAAAAAAGGACAAACTATCGATTTATTTAAGAAAAAAAAACACAAGTCATCAACTTTTTTAAGAAAAAAGAAGAAAGCATTGATTTATTTACGAAAAAAAATAAATCATGCACTTTTTTAAGAAAAAAGAACAAATAATCAATATTTTTAAGAAAAAAACTTATTAAATTGTTTGAGAGAAAAACAATTTATCAACTTATTCAAGAAGACAAGCTGCTGTCGATATATTTAACAAAAAAAAATCACCAATATATTTCAGCTAACTTGATTACAATATGAAGATTAATTACAATGATAAATTGACTAGCGAACTATAGTAATTGTCGATTGTATTTTAATAAAGTTAACATTGATAGCATATTCTTCAAGAGTAGGGGTGGGAAGTTACCGTTCCCAGACCGTTACCTGGGAACGGTAACGGTAACTTCCCACCGTTATTCGAGAGTCGACTATGATGAGAACGCATAAGTATGCCGCTCGAGGAAAACACCCGTTCAACTGCATTAAAGTTAATAACGGATGGCGAGCTTTCTCCTTATCAATTCTTCTTCCTTTCTTCACGGAAAAAAATCATGTAAAAAGTGAAAAGTTAAGTCAGATCAAAATGGATGAAA